AGGGCAGAATTGGGGATCCAATCCCTACGGTCGGGAAGAGACGCGAGGAAGCTGACATTACAGTATCGCATACGCAGGATGGGAGAGGAGAGGTTGCCGAGAATTGTATGGGAGGCGAAGTGGGCAAACAAAAAGAGGGGTAGACAACCCACGGAATGGGTCAAGGTTGTAGAGGACGTATGGAAGGGGCTCGACATCGACGAAGATGAAACGCTGGAAACGGAGGGTCTACAGGGGTTCAAGGAGAAGATATCTGTTGCTTGTGCCGAGAGAGAAGAACAGAATCTGAGGAAAGAATCCAAGGATAAGGAGGGTCTAGAAGTGTACGGAATGTTGAAGGAAGGAATAGGGTTCAAGGACTACCTACATGGACCAATGGATGCAGGAACAAAGCTTAAGGTCAAATTCAGGACCGGGGACATAGGCCTTCGAGAACGTCGACGAAGACATAGGACGGTAGGCGACGAAGACGACGAGTTCAAGTGTGATTGCGGCTTCGAATGCGAAGTCCGTGTTCATGTAGTCGCGGAATGTCCGTTGTACAAGAAGGAGAGGGAAGTGTACGTGACTGAGCTGGGAAAAATAGATGGAACGTACAGGGAGATGTTTGAGGCATGGAATAGAGAGGAAAGGACGGTAGCTGTACTGGGGCATAGGAGGTGGGTTGAAAAGGCGGGAAGGGATATCGTTAGGATAGACAGACCAGGGAAGACACTTTGAGCCACCTTTGGCAAAGAAGAAAGGAATGATTGACCATCGGTGATCGGTCCTGTGGGAACAATGCTCCGTCCTCTCGAGGACGCGTGGTCAATGGTCTAACCGCTAAGGCATGCAAAACATAAGAGTACGCCCCCCCCCCCCCCCCCCCGCCCCACGCTTACTGCTCTTCTTCAATTGCTCGTTTGCTCCTCTTAACATGGCATGACTTGTACGCGTATATGTGCATGTTTTTTTTTATTTCAATGACGTTCGCATCGACCGCGCGAACCGGCTGACCAATGAAGAGGCGCTGGTGTCTTACAGCGGGTGGTGCTCTAGGCGCTCGTCCTCCTGTCATCGTTGCCGCACCGCTATCGCTATCGCTGTCGCTGTCCGTCGTTGTCGCAACAGGATCGAATCGAGCGATCTACCTGCGGTGGTAGAGGCCCACGTACCCGACGTGCTCAAGAAGAAACAGGTGGGCCAAGGGAGTTAGTTGGTTTGGGAGCTAGCTCACGCGCCCTCAACGCAGCGTCGTCGTTGAGGGCCCGGCTTCTTTGTTCTCTTTTTAAGAGGGCATCCGACGATTAGTCGCACGTACCATACCCGTCCCAGCGTGCCCAATCCGGGCCAAAGTAACATGGTTTCCATATTTGCACACGTGTCTCGCGGGATGTACGTGCTACTGTTAGCATGGCTTGTCATATGTAGCACACGGTCATTACGGAATGTATGTGCTACTGCTGTTAATATGGCCTTCCATATTTAGCTCACGCGTAATGAAGTATTAATGTCTGGAACAGCTTCATTGTGTCCTCGGAGCCTCCCGGATATGATTGAGTAAGCTAATGTTATTTTCGTGGCCGTCCAATTGTTGTTGTTCTTGTTGTCTTAACATTACAAAAAGCCGTTCCGATCTCTCTCTACCCAGTACCTTCGTATGTCCGTACTGATCCAACACTCGACGCGGTCTATGCCCGTGGTCACAGGTTAACTTACCCTATGAAGGTACACTCAAATAAACTGGCCCCGAGGGGTCCGCAAGTCAATAGAAATCAACGACAGATATTCTAGGGTCCTCCACTCCCTCTGCGCGCTATGCGAGGTAACAACTGAGACTAGCAGTCACCATCACGGGCCGGAGAGAATGAGGTACACCCCCTTGGTCCATTCTTGGTTCTTCACAACGCAAGCAGAGACAAGGCCATCTGGCACAGAAAAAGAGAGATGAAAAGAAAGAAACGGAGAAAACAGAGAAAAAGAGAAAAAAATAAAAGGAAACAGTAAGGAAAGAGAAACAAACTGAAAAAGAGCGAGGACAAAAAAAGACCAGGCCGAAAAATTACAAGAAATAAGACAGAAAAAGGCACACGGTGGAGAGACCACTAACGAACAAGCAAACACGCAAACATGGCCACCAACCAGCGATACATTGTAATGGTACGTCATCACTAGTGGGGGGTTGCTGCAATGGCGCAGCGTTGGGGGGAGGGGAATTGGCTAAAAGAAATTCAATCCGGCACGTATCGCGCCACTCGGTGTGTCTCTTCTCGTTTGCTTTCTTTTCTCGCCGTCTCGTCCGTCTCCTGCCCCCCTACCTCCCCATTGGTTGGCTTGTGGTTTCGTTTGAGCGCCCGTTGTCGGCCGGCCTCTTCTTCCTTCTCGTGCCAGGGGGTCATGAACCTCTCAGCTCCCTGCAGTACATATGCACGTGTACCATACTAGTTGTAGTATGGTTGTGCGAATGTTGTTGGAGGAGGCGGGTTTCAGCGTTCATTTCGTCGGCATTTTTTTGGCCGTCGGTCGTTCACCCCCCCCCCCTCC